CTCACGTTACTCATGAGGCCCTTGAAGACCACCAGCTCAGCTTTCAGCTGCTCGACCTTCATGGCCAGCTCCTCTTGGCAGGCATCGGCCTCTTGGGCCTCCTACAGCCAGGAGGAAAGGCAGACACGATGTCCATGTGGGAAGGGCATGGGGGCCAGGGCGAGGGCTGAGCGGTGCCACAGGGAAGCAGGGGCAGTGGGGTGAGCACCCTCACCTCCTGGAGCTCATTCACTCGCTCTTGCAGCTGTATCCGCGCCATGTACTCCTCTTCCCACCTGACAGACATTGGGAAGGGGAGAGAACAAAGCCTCGAGTCCCTCCTGCCACCACAGCTCATGTCCCTCCCTCTTAAGCCCGGGCTTCAGACCCCAGGTCTGGTTCTCTGATGGGAATTAGTTAAGACGAGAATACATGGGCCGGTCAGCCAGTGGGCAGCTGCAGCTGTTGCGTGGCTCCAAACTTCCTGACGAGGGCTGAGCTCACCAACTGCCGGCCCAGGGCCTCTGGACCGTGTACAGGACTACATTTAACAACAACGCCACCACTTTGGCCCTCGGCAGTACCCATCCCCATGTGGGCCCAGTCCTGCCAGCTGTCTGGCTGGACTCCTCCCCCACCTCCTGCCCACACCAGGTCCCCCCTTCAACAGTCTCCCACCTTCAGCGGCACAGATCCGGTCTCCCGCTCCTGCCCGCACAGAACAGAGCTTGTTAGCCTGCTGCCCTGCCTCCTGGGTACCATTTAAACCTGTGAAAGCATCTGCAGGACACAGGCTGGATCAAGAGGTGCTCAGCAGCCTCGGGGGGGACACAGTCCTTCCCCACCCAACCCCTTGAAGTGAGCTATAAGGTCACAGGGTGTGATGTCCCCCCAGCAGTGTGAAAGAAGTGGCCAACAGAAGCTAGGGACTGCTGAGTAGTCACACCTAAGCGACAGGGAACTGAAGCGGAGGAGGGAAGGGTCCTCTAAGCAGCACAGCATCCCTCAGAGTTCAAACCAGAGCTCGCCAGGTGCTTGGTGAAGACACACTGGCCATGGGGCAGAGCCTGTGGGGTATTACCCAGGGCTAAGGGCACATGCCACCCTGTCACTGAGATGGAAGGTGGGGTCCTGTTTGGCCCCGTAGGTTCAGAACCCGAGGCTGGCTGAACCAGTGGCCGGGTGCAAAGCCTTGGCGCATTAGCTCATCGCTTCTGGCTGTGTTCTGCGTACAATTCTTCTGGCCTCAGAAAGGAGGGCAAGGGGGCTGAAGGAGAAGGCTCAGAGCGAGATCAGTGGGAAGGAAGCAGCAGAGGACAGCCTCTGCTGTCAGGACCACTAAGCCCTTCGTGGCCCTTCCCTCCTCTCCCGTGCCCCTCACCCCCTCAGGTTCCATGTCCCTGCTCTCCCAAGTTCTGCACTCCCAGCCGCAATGCAGTGTTCCTAATAATAACTCCCCAGCTGCCCCTCCCAGCTGGCTGGGGGAAGAGGCCGTCAGCCCAGCCACCACCCTGCAGCTCGGCTCTTGGGCTCCCTCACCCTCTAGCCCTCTCCCTGCCAGCCCCACCGCCACCCCCATATCTGCTTCTCCTTTTGTCCTGGCAATGACAGACCCTGGTAGCCTCAAGCTACACACTTTCTGGGATGAGAACCTTCGTTTCTTCATCTGCAACGTGCAAGTATGGGAAGTGGTCTCCCGTGTGTCTCTGGAGAAAGCCCACAGGACTGACAAGAGGTTAAACCCCTGGCCAAGATGCATCAGGGAGGGCCGGAGATCCTACTTGATAATGAACTAAATAAATGCTATATGAGAACGCTAAGGCAAGATGAGGATTCATGAGAAGGTCTGAGAATGAATCATCTGGACGCTCATGAGGATTCTATGTGCTCTCCACCCAGACACACAATGGCTGCAGTATGACTTCCGCCCAACTCTCTCACCTTCCTTCCTTCTTTTCTGCAAGGTTCCCATAACGTGGGTAGAATTTGGGCAATTGCCGTACATCCTGCATTTACCAGAGGCCTCTCCTACATATAAATCCTATTTCTGAGTGGAAGAGAAAAAGCAGGGGTCACTCTTGTGTTGGAAAAACTGAACCCCAAGAAAAAGGTCACACAGGCAAAAGAGCTGACAGTGGAACTTGGGGGTGAGTACTCAAGCTCCCTGTGCTGTCCTGGCTAAAGATGGGGAGCACGGCGTTGCTATAATGAGCCCAGAAGGCAGGCAGGGGCTCTGGGGTGGAAGGGTGTCACATACCACGCAAGGCTAGTCACGGGGCCCACGGCACAGGAATGTGCTGCAGAGATGAGCTAATCAGTCCCCAAGGAGTAACTCTTTGCTGCCCTGGACAGCTGCACCAAGGACAAACGCCCTCTGTTTTAAACGATGCCCTGGAGAAGAGCAGCTGTTCCTAGGATTATGGCAGAACCCTAGAACTGTCCAGTGTTCCATCGCCTGCATTAAGCCCTATGAGGGCAGCGCCAGGTGCAGCCTAGTTCTGGGTGGTACCTAAATGTTGAGACAACTAGAAGCCCAAAGATAATTATAACATGGCCACAGTCATGGGAGCCACAGGGAGGACTCAACTTCAGAAAGCGCCGACACAGGTAATCGGCAGACGCTAACAGGTTACCAACCCCTGAAGGTCATCCCAGACCCAACACTTTTCCCAGGGCCTCCGGATGGTCCCCACACACAGCTACCCAGACAGCAATCCTTGCCACCTTGGCCTGCACAGGCAGTCCAGGCTAGCCCGAAAGGGTCACATTAGCTATGATGCTGAGGCCCCAAGCCTAGGCCTCCCTGACTGCCATCATCTTCCTCCTCAGCCACAGCCTGGTCAATCTCCAAAGCCCTCACTCTGCCTGAGATCCTTCCTATCGCCTGGTTACCAGTCACCCTGGTACACAGCCAGGATGCCAATGTGACATCCTTCCTCCTAACTCCTGTGCCAACCTGTTAGGGACGGGCTCCTCTCAGACAGCCAACCCTTCATCCCCAGAGTACACTGGGCTGGTGCTCAGACACTGTTACTGTAGGGTGTGCCCATGTTCCCACTTCCCCTTACCCCATCCCCTGCTGGCTCTGTTCACGATTCTTCTGCGACAGCCTCCCTCACAGCTCTGTAACAACGACCATCCTTCTCCATGCCCTAGGGTAGCCTGTACCCTTTCTGCCTCTCTCCCCCTGTTTGTTTGACTGTGCCAAGCAAAGCTTTCAGGTTCTGGGGCCCTTGAGCCTTTCAAATGGAACCATCGTGAGGCCTGGGCCTCCCTTCTGTGAGACTCTGGGGAGATAGAGTCTCTTCATCACTACCTCGTTCCAATTTCACTTAATTTTCCTCCAGAATTAAAACTACATCCTTCACCTCAAGTGTGGAGTTTAGATCCTGAAATTGCGTCTGAGGCGGGCCAGACACGACCCACAGATGCAGTGCTGTCTCTCCCTTTCACACCGCACAACACCCCACAGTTAGCAGAGTCATGCAAACACTGCATAAGACAGGGAGACATGCCAGAAGAAACGTATGAATTCCCAGTGTTCTAGAATGCCTCTCTAGTCACGAGTCTGACGAGAACTGTCGGTGGCTTCTGGGGCCCCTGCATCCATGCAGCAGGAACTTCTCTCTCGTTACCATGGCTGCCGGGCCCCCAGCTCTCCGGTCTGGGCACCCTGCAGCAACTCCCTGCCCGGTCGTGCTTATGTGTGGCACGTCTTGAACCTCGTCCCTACTTTGCAGGTCCCTACCTCCGCTTGTACTCGTCCCGCTCCCGCTTCACTTTGGCCAGCACGTTGTACAGGGCGCGGATCTCGGGAGTGATGGTGTCGATCTGAACGCCCACCCCGTCAGGGTGTACCCACGACAGGCCGGGCCCCTGCACCAGCGTGGATTCCAGTCCGGGTCCAAGGCGGCGAGCGTGTGAGAAGGACCAGATGGTGCCAGGCATGAAACGGGTCGACGAGGAGAAGGCGGTGGAGGAGGAGGAGGAGGTGGATGACTGGCAGGCCGCAGAGGAAGCGAGGGGTCCGGCTGGCGAGCGGGCGGGGGAACCCAGTACCCGCGCGGACGGGGGGCACACAGCGGCCGGCCGGGAGCTCAGGGGCAGCCCCAGGGGCCGGATCGGGCTGATGAAGCCGGTCTGTACCGCCTGGTCGCGGCGGGCCAGGCCCCGCCTGCCCTGCTTACCCTCCTCCAGAGCCTGCTGCAGCTGCTTCTCCAGCAGCCGGTTCCTGCGCTCTAGCTCGTGCACCTTGGCTAGGAAGCAGCGAAACCGGAGGTTCAGGGTCTTGAGCACGTTGATGTTGGAGCCCAGGTCGTTGCGGAGAGCCATGGCTGCAGGGGGCGCCGGACCAGGCCCAGGAGGCGAATAGGCAGCGGGGCCCGCCGAGGCAAGCGGAGCCGGGGGCAGGTCCCCTCCCCCGGCAAAGTGGTCGCCTCCCAGAGGGTCCCCCAGCGGCCCGGCCAAGCCCTGCTGCTCCTGTTGTAGGAGGAAGAGATTGGGACCGAATAACGGATTCATGGCTGCGCCTTCTGCTGGGAGATGGAGACCAGTGCAGCAGAGGATGAGGAAAAGAGCCAATGAGACGCCTGCAGGATGCGAACAACCAATCAGACGGCCCGGGAGTAGGGCAGAGGTCATGAGGGCGGGACTAGAGGAACCCAATGAAAGTCTCTCGTTAGAGGTTTAGCCCTGGACCTTTCCGGGTCTGTGGAGTCAACATTAGAAGGAAGCCGACTAGCCCTTCCCCAGGGAGTTACCCACATCCTAAGATTCCAGGCCCTCTGGTACCTGAGGGGAACCAGCAGTGGAAGACCGTCTTCCCTTCACCCCTACCATCTTCTAGATTTGATTCTATGGCTTTTTCCCTGGGAGACCAAGAAATGGAAGGAGCCTATGGTTGACCTATACTGAGCCATCATTCAGGTAATGCCTCGTTATTTCCGTCAAGAGGACCGATCGCAGGCCCACCTTCCTACAAGTTGCCAATACCCAGCCCCCTAAAAAAACACAACAGTGACTAGGAGTGAAAATATGTATATTAAATCTCTTAAGTATGCACAGTGGGGAGACCATCATTGCAGAATTCCAACCCAGAGACAACGTGGGTGAGTCAGCACAGTCTGTTTCCAAGTCCATCTAAGACAACAGTGGTTGGCTGCTGCCCTTTGTCACCGATTTTCTCCTTTTTGCTGGTGGGGGTCTGGTGGAACTATGGGGTGAGCCAGTGGGGACTGAGGGTCCCTTGGGGGCACCATCCTCCTTTAGGGAAGCAGCGCTCTTGGCAGGCTGCTCTGGTAGCTTCAGCTTTGCTTTTTCAATCTTCTTGGTTTTCCCCAGGGACTGACCACAGTCCTTAAGCCCTGGAGCAGTGCAGATGTCATCGGGTGACGGCACGGCAGGTGTTTCCGAGTGCGCGCCCTTGGGAGGGGCTCTCTGCTCTGGGAGAGCAGCTTCCTTGGAGGACTTTGATTTGGGTCCCCTTTGCTTTAGCTTCCCAGCCACTTTTGGTTTCCTGATCACCCCAGCTTTTCCATCAGGCTGACTGCTCTCCTGGGGCCTGGCAGATACTTGGGCCTTTGGGACAGACGGTGCAGTGGATTCTGACCCTGGCCCTTTGGCGACACCATTCACCTTCTGGAAGGGCTTTCTGGAATGCTGCTGTCTTGCCTTTGCCCCACCAGCTCCCTTGGTGGACTGATCGCTGCTCTCAGACATGGGGGTGACCTGATCCCTCAGCCCAGGCTCCGAAGGGATGGCTGCTGCGGCATTTCCTGTGGTAAAGATTAAAGAGATGGTTTGACCATTAAGAAACAAGGAAGCTATTGGGTGGTGGTGGGGGCATGTCTTTAATCCCAACACTCGGGAAGCAGAGGCAAGTGGATCTGAGTTTGAGGCCAGGCTGGTCTACAGAGTGAGTTCCAGGACAGCCAAGGTACAGAGAAACCCTGTTTCGAAAACCCAAAGGAAGGAAGGAAGGAAGAAGGGAGGGAGGAAGGGAGGGGAGGGGAGGGCAGGGGAGAGGAGGGAGGGAGGAGCAAGGAGGCTTATTTTGCCTCCTCTAGACCAAGACTCCCACACATTAGGATGTGCTTTAGGTGCCTAACGTAGTACCCTGTTGTTAAGGGATCATTGCCTATTCTCAAACCAAGAGGTTTTCATAGGAAGCTGCGCCCCCTTGAGGGCAGTATGTAGCAAGAAACTAAGGAGAAGGCAAAAGTCCCACACCAGTCTCCATTCAGTCTAAGGGGCAGGGAAAAGTTCCAGCTTATTTTTGAAATCCCAGTAGACAGGTTTTCTCCATCGTGGATTTTCATACAATGCAGGAACTACGACAGCAAACCCAACCAGAAAACAGCTGGTAAGTATCAATGAAGACAATATCAAATACACACTGCAGTTATAGCAAAACTTCCTATTTCTTAGGTTTTTCTGAGACAGGGTCTTGCTATGTAGCCTCGGTTGGTATTGAATTCACGACAAGAGGCCAGTGTGGCCTCAAACTCAAAGATTTATCTGCCCTTGCCTCTTAAAGTGTGCTGTTTCTTAAGGTTTTTGCTCTATGGTAACTTGTGTAAGGAACACCTTTTTTTGGGGGGGGACAGTGGTGCTCAGAGGCAGACACTACCTGGCATGCACTGGCTCTGCAGCTACTGAAAAAGAAAACACCAAACCCAACCTAGAATCACACGCTGTATTCAGATGCCCCTTTCACCATCTTCCAAGCAACCCAAGGCTCCCGGTCTTGTCCCAGAACACCCCGCCCTCCCGAGATACACGCCAGCATCAAGATGGCTGGGGAAACAAAGTGCAATTAGCGTCAGGCTGGGAGAGCTGCCCAGAGAGCTGCAGAGATGCTGGGCCACCAGAGCTGCACTCAGGAACCCAGGCCAGGAATCGAAAGAAACCACAGCCTGCAACGGGAATGCACTTAGGCTAAACAAAAGACCCATCTATCTCAACCTGCTCAAACAGGCTCAAGGGCGACAGAGGCTGGGTGACAGGGTCTTATCCAAGTGCACAGTTGCTGAGATAAAACACCAAACATCCCCCTCGTCATACTGCAGCCTCTAGAAAAGTGGAAAGCAGGTAGGAGAGGGTTTAGTGGGTAGGGTGCCTGGTAAGGAAGCACAAGGGCCTAAGTTCGGATCCCTGGCATCCCAGTGAAAACAGCTGGGAGTCAGAACCGCAGGACTCGGGACACCAGGTGTTGGTGTTCCAGGCAGTCTAGCTAAAAAAAAAAAAAAAAAAAAAAAGTAAAGTGAGACGGGTGGGTGGTGTGTGTGTGTTCACACCCTACTATTAGGAGCTCCTGGCAACTGACAGCTGCTAGGGGCGGAGTCAGGCTTAAGGGATGAGGTCCTGAGAGGCTGTTCATGCTCCAGGAGATGGTCCCATCCATACAGTTAATATTAAATGGACTGGGGGCAGGTAGGGAGTGAGGTGGCAGGGAAGGGGAGGAATTAAAGACTTGATCTACAGCACATTACATGAATGAACAATATTTTTTTTTAAATATTCTTTTTAACTGGGCAGTGGTGGTGCACGCCTTTAATATCAGTACTAGGGGAGCAGAGGCAGGCAGATCTCTGTGAGTTCAAGGCCAGCCTGGTCTACAGAGTGAGTTCCAGGACAGCCTCCAAAACAATACAAAGAAGCCCTGTCTCAGAGAAAAAACAAACAAAAAAAAATCTTTTTTAAAGTGGGGTGGGGGCTGGAGAGATGGCTCAGAGGTTAAGAGCACTGACTGCTTTTCCAGGGGTCCTGAGTTCAATTCCCAGCAACCACATGGTGGCTCACAACCATCTGTAAAGAGATCTGGTGCCTTTTCTGGCCTGCAGACATACATGCAGGCAGAACACTGTATAAATAATAAATAAATAAATCTTTAGAAAGATAATAAAAAAAATAAAGGGGGGTGGGCCCATTAGGAGGTAAAGGCACCTGCTGCCAAGCCTGGGTTTGATCAAGACCCACATAGTGGAAAACAGAGAACTCCAACAGTTATTCTCTGGCCTCCACAGGTGTTCTGTGGCATGTACACGCCCGCCTGACCTGAGCTCTAGCTTCCCCACATGCAAGTGAGCACACCTGCCCCACACACGCATCACACTGCATACACCACCCCTCACCCCCTCTCCCTCCCTCCCTCCCCCCTCCCTCCCTCCCTCATTCTTCTCAGAAAACAAGACCAGAAGAGCAAAGGTGGTGATGGTGGGGAATGGCAGAACAAATTACCTGTGTGCGGTTGGGGAACAGAATTAGAAAACTTCTTGAACTTGGCGATGAAGAAGCCATCCATGTTGTGAGTGTGAGGATAGAAGCGCCGGGTGGAGCGCAGAGAGGGGTGAAAGCGCCTTTCTCGGAAGCGGGTAAAGCCCTCCTGGCCAAAGTCTAGGCCTGTAGGCACCAGCCGCACATTCCTCTTTTTCAAGGCATAGTCTACCACCCACTCATTCTCTTCCACCTGGATGTGGGGAAGACAAGGCAGGAAGGAATGGCGTGGACTTGGATCTGAGAGACCTCCCCACCCAGCCTCCACTAGCTGCCCTGCAGAGACTCACCGTAATGGAACAGGTACAGTAGACCAGGTAGCCCCCGGTCTTGGAGGCAGCGTTGACGGAGTCAATGGCACTGAGCAGCAGTTCCTTCTGAAGATGGGCACAGCGCAGGACATCCTTCTCATCCTGTCAGGAATCAGGGTGGAGACTTCATAAGACAGCCCGAGGAAGGGGGCGGCTGCCTACCGGGTGTTCTCTGACTCCCACACTCCAGCCCCACGAGATCACCCAAGGGCCTGTCAGCCAGTCAGTCCCGCCACCAGGCCCTCACCTTGTTGGTCTTCACAGCAGGGTCCTTGGAGATGACCCCTGTCCCACTGCAAGGAGCATCCAGTAACACTCGGTCAAAGCCCCCCACCACCTGGGAAAAGGCAAGGTCAGCCAGATGCTTGCTTCAACAAGCACTAATTTCCTAAGGACAGCGCTAAAACACATCGATGTCACCACGGGCATGGTAACCTGAAGCCTCAGGAAAGACAAGAGGCCCACCTTGGGGAACTGGCGCCCATCATAGTGGCTGATAATAGTGTTGGTGACGCCCAATCGATGCAGGTTGCCCACGACACTCTTGAGGCGCTCAGCATTGGCATCGTTGGCGAGGATCACTCCTGTGTTCTTCATCAGCTGAGCTGTGGGCGGGGGGAGGGGACCAGAGCTCAGCAGCAGCTCCTCTGCCTCACCCTTGCTACCCACCCCAGCCCAGAACCCACAGACCAGGTCTCACCCCTGCAAGGCCAACTCCTCCCTGCCTACGCAGCCTGCACACCCCAGTGGGGACTAGGCTAACCCCCAGAGTTACCAGTTTTGATGACCAGCTTCTGGTCTTACACAAAAAGTTACTTTTATTTCTTTCCTTTTCAGAGACAGGATCTCATATAGTCATGGCCAGCCTTGAACGTCTAGTGTCCTTGTCTCCACCTCTGGAGTACCAGGATTACAGGTTTACATCACTACACCACATCAAAGGGCCAAGGGCTTCTAAAGGCATTATGCTATGTTACCTTCTAAAGCCAAGCATGGTAATAGCCAACCTAAGCACAGTTACTACCTACAAGTCAGCCAAGGTCAGACAGAGGGTTAGACAACAGAGCTGAACCTGGAGCCTAGACCCCCTAGACCCCAGAGACAAGCTGGGTCAGCCTCATTCAAGGAGTCACCAACCCTATATTCTTTCTTTCTTTTCTTTCTTTTTTTTTTTTTTTTGTTTTTTTACGAGACAGGGTTTCTCTGTATTGTTTTGGAGGCTGTCGGTCCAGGCTGGCCTCGAACTCACAGAGATCCGCCTGCCTCTGCCTCCCGAGTGCTGGGATTAAAGGCGTGCGCCACCACCGCCCGGCTCCCTATATTCTTTCTAAAGCATGCCATACGACAGCCACCCACCCAGACTGCCCTTTTCATACCTATGTAGCTGGTCTTCCCTCCAGGAGCACAACACATGTCTAAGATCCGCTCGTGCTCCTGAGGTGCCAGGGCCATGACGGGTAACATGCTTGAGGCTCCCTGAAGCATATAGTGGCCAGCCAGATACTCAGGAGTAGCGCCTGTAAGAGGACCACTGTGTGACATGCTGGCACGGGGCGGAACAGAAGGGCACACTTACAAATAGCGGACACTTACCAATAGGCACGGAAGAATCATACACCACCAGTCCAGACTTGGACCACTTTCCCAAGGGATCCAGATTGACTCCACGATTGATTAGAGCCTGAAAAAAGGGATGAGGATGTCAAAACCATATATCCTACCCAGAAAAGAGGCAGGCACGAGAGCCTGTTCCACACAGGTCCAGGTCACCACAACTCCAAGAACACCCACTCACAAGAGCCAGCGGATCCTCTCCTCCTCAGACCATCACACACCCCTTTGCCTCCCGTTCAGGATGGACCCCAAGTCCTTATAAAGGTTGAGCAAAGGGTCAACCGCTGAGCTACTCTAGCCCTTGTCCTTCAAGTCCCTTTGTTTTGAGACAGGACATTGCTATGTAGTCTGAGCATCAACCTCACAAGCGCTGGGATTACAGGTACAAACTACCAGATCTAGGCACACACCCCTAACTGGAGGCTGTGGCTAGGACTTGTGCATGTTAAAGCCACGGGCTCTAGTACCGAGCCACACCCCAGCCCCTGTGCCCCACTCCACTTTTTAATCCCAGGGTTCTAACTCAGTCAAGCATATTCCACACAAGCAGACGATCATCTCCTGTAAAATAATGTAAAAGCTACAATATGCAGCCGGGCGGTGGTGGCGCACGCCTTTAATCCCAGCACTCGGGAGGCAGAGGCAGGCGGATCTCTGTGAGTTCAAGACCAGCCTGGACTACCAAGGGAGTTCCAGGACAGCCTCCAAAGCCACAGAGAAACCCTGTCTCAAAAAAACAACAAAAACAAAAACAAAAACAAAAAAAAAGCTACAATATGCAGAACAGGAGAGATGGCTCAGCAACCATCCTCATTGAAGAGGATCTGGATTCAATTCCAGCACCCATATGGTGGCACACACACGGTGAACACACGAACACGACACACACACACACACACACACACACACACACACACACACACACACACACACACACACACACACCTTTAAAACAAGAAAACAGCATAAAAGGGGCAGTCTTCAACCTTGGATAAGATTAAAATTGTGTATAATGTTTTACTAGGGGCAAGAATCAGTTTCCCAGCCTCTTGGTAACCTTCCTCCAACTCCTTAGAAGGCAGCTGTTCATCCTGATGCAGATGTCTCATCCCAGGCACAGGGAGCAGAGGTTGCAAAGACAAGGTTCTACTCTACAGTAGCCCAGGCCCGGAGTCTACCAGACAGGCCTCTCCCAGCTTACCTGCTGGGACCATGCTTGTAACAAGACATACATAGGACTCAAGAGCCCACCCAGCCAGGACTGGGCAGGGTGGTCCCCAGGTGTGCAAAAGTTGGTCCAATTCTGCATTAAACGATACTGACTCCTCACCTGAGCAAGGTCTCTGCGACGGGTTTTCAAGGTGTTGGTCCGAAGGGTGATTGGCCGGGGTACCTCATTAGCTTCTAAGAACTCGATCAACTGTAATGGAGACAGCACATCAGGGACTGAGTCGAGAGAACCATGGAGCTCAGGCTTGGGGAGCTGGGGGGCTAGATGCCTTCACACCCCTACAAAGGTGAGAAATAGAAGCAACAGACTGGCAGGCCGGTACCTCAGACAGAGGGAAGATCTCCATGAGCTTGCCCAGCAGGAAGTCTCCATAAGAATAGTAAGTGGCCAGATCCTTCTGAAGTCTATTCAGATACTCAGAACGAGACCGTCCTTCTTCCCGCTGAGCCCCAAAATTCCGAAGTACCCCCACTATATCCTGGATCCGCTTGTGGACTCGCTGCAGGTCTGGAGCCTGGACATGTGGGCCCATTAAGGAAATGCTGCCTCAAGTCTAAGAAACCCTCTCTCTCAGTGCCTTCCCGCACCCTCACGATGCACTCTCAAAGGATATCCTGCTCCATCTCCCCAGCAGGGGGCAGCACAAAGGCCTCCTCATCTTCCACATTAATCTGCAAACCCCCCTCTGCTTTGTCATCCTTTGCAGGAGAGGACGCAGGGGGATCATCTTCATCTTCCTCTTCATCAGTCTCCTCTTCACTCCACTGGCCCCTAGAAACAAGGCCAGGAGCAGGGGTTCAAGCCAAAACAGACACCCTCCTTCCTCAGATCTTCCTCCCCCAGCTGCTGCCAAACTCACCCAGCAGCAGCAGCTTCCCGGGCCTTCTGCTTCAGAGCAGCTCTTTCAATGGGCAACAACTGCAAAGAGACAAGGGCCGCTGATGAGGGCTGCCCGTCATCCTGGCTCAGATGTCCTCCCCCAAATCTAACACTCTCGGAAACAAAGACAAGCTAATGACACAAGTAAGAGACAAGGGCTGCCCGTCATCCTGGCTCAGATGCCCTACTTAGTTTGAGACAGGGTCTCTCTATGTAACGGTCCTGACTGTTCTAGAACTCTCTCTATAGACCAAGCTGGCCTCAATCTCAGAGATCTACCAGTCTCTGCCTCCTGAGTGCTGGGATTAAAGGTGTGTGCCACCACCCAGCTCTTTAGTTTTTAATTTTAGGGTTTTTTACTTTTAAATGTTCTATTTTATTGATTTAAAAAATGTATGGGGGCCGGGCATTGGTGGCGCATGCCTTTAATCCCAGCACTCGGGAGGTAGAGGCAGGTGATCTCTGAGTTCGAGGCCAGCCTGGTCTACAGAGCGAGTTCCAGGACAGCCTCCAAAACAATACAGAGAAACCCTGTCTCGAAAAACCAAAAAAAAAAAAGAAAAGAAGAAGTATGGGTATGGTGGGTGTTTTGCCAGAATGCCTGTGCAGGAAGAAGCCCCTGGACACCAACCAGGGGAGTTGAATTTCCTTGATCTGGAATGACAGACAGTTCTGAGCCACCATGTGGATTCAGTGAACCAAATCCAAGTCCTCTGCAAAAATAGCCAGGGCACATAACTTCATGTTAACACTTCTCCAGGTCCTTTATTTTTAAATTTTATGTGTTTTGTCTGCAGATCTGTGTACATGACATGCATGCAGTGCCCATGAAGACCAGAAGAAGACACTGAACAGATGGTTTTTTTTTTTTTTTTTGGTTTTTCGAGACAGGGTTTCTCTGTGGCTTTGGAGGCTTGAACAGATGGTTTTGAGCAGTCATGTGAGCAATGGAGTCAAACCCAGACCACCTGTAAGAGCAACAAGTGCTCTTAACCACTGAGCTCTCTCCAGCTCCAGATGTTCATCTGTTTGTCTCTTTTGAGACAGTCCTACTCTGTTGTCCAGGCTGGTCTCAAACTCACAGCAATCCTCCTGCTTCAGTCTCCCAAGTGTGGGGATCACCATGCCTGGCTCCTTATTTCTTTTGATTGGGATACGGGGTGTGAAGGAAGGCCAGGTCATGCACACTTATACCCTAGCATTCAGGAGGCCAAGGCCAAGCACGAAGAGTTTGGAACCAATCTGACTACATAACAAAACAGGAAATACCTCATGGATAAAGAGAACATGTGTTCTTGGGCCTTGCTTTGACATATTTTTTCTTAAATTACTCTACATATTACTCTATTATCTTGCAAGTGTTTCTTTTTTGTTTTTTGTTTTGTTGAGGCAGGGGTTGTCTGTGTAGTATGCTGTCCTGGAACTCACTCTGTAGTAGACCAAGTTGGCATTGAACATAAGAGACCTGCCTGCCTCTCTACTGGGATTAAAAGTATGTGCCACCATGCCTTGCTAAGGTTTTACTTTTAACTACATGTGAATTTGAGCATACATGTGTGACCATGTGTACATGAGTGCAGATGCCCAGAGGCCACCAAAGGGCCTTAGATCCCTGGATTTAAGAGTTATAGGCCCCTGTGATCAGTCCAACAAGTGCTAGGAACTGAACCTAGGTGCTCTGCAAGTACTTTTAGCCACTGATCATCTCTCCACCCAAGTCCTAGCATGTGAGAGGCAGGCAGATCCCTGTGAGTTCAAGGCCAGCCTAGTCTACATAGTGAAACCCTGTCTCAAGTAAGTAGTTTCACAGACAGGACAGCCAATGTTAATTCACCATGTGCATGAGCTATGACCCATTTTCCTGTGTTTGGCCTTTACGATGCTCTCTGCAGAGGGCAGTGCTGTATATTATACAAGTTTACATTACTGAAGCTTCTGAAATAAGCATACAACGCAATCATACAATCACTGGCAGCCCAGTAAGAAAACTTTTATCTTGACTATATACCACCTCCCTAAAAATAAACAACATCAAGCCTCACATATCAGATTGAGTGCTCTATCACTTCAGCCTACAACAATTGCTTTGTTAAAAATGAGCATTTGAGGTGCTGGAGAGATAGATGGCTCAGAGCTTAAAAGCACTGACTGCTCTTTCAGAGATCCTGAGTTCAATTCCCAGCAACCACAAGGTGGCTCATAACCATCTATCATGAGATCTGGTGCCCTCTTCTGGCCTGCAGGGGTACATGCAGGCAGAACACTGTATATGTAATAAAAATAAGTAAATAACAAAATGATCATTCGAGCCCAGGGATGGGGAGTGGGGAGGGGCGCACACGCCTTTAATCCAGCACTCGGGAGGCAGAGGCAGGCAGATCTTTGAGTTCAAGTCCAGCCTGGCCTACAGAGCCAGCTGAGGCTACCCAGAGAAATCCTTGAAAAACAAAAACAAAAGAGCATCCGAGCACAGCAGGGTAGCATCCACCCCAATACACACACAAATTAAGTAAGTAAATAAGCAGGGCCAGGAAGACAACTCAGTGGAAGAACTCCAGAAAGTTTCCTCTAGCCACGCGTGTGTCTGCACCCACACACTCACAAGTAGATAAAACGTAAAAAAACTTAGGGCCAGCTATGAAGGCACTTGCTGCCAAGCCCAATAACTTCAGTTCAATCCCTGGGGCCCACATGGTAGAAGAGAATCCCCCCCCCAAATAGTGTTCTCTGACCTCCACATTCACACCGTGACACGCATGTATGTGTACATACACACTAAGTAAATGCTTTAAAATTCTAAGTGTGTGTGTGTTTACTCTCATCAGGATATCCAAGTATCCTCTCCTCTCCCGTTAGTCCCAGCACTCAGGAGGAAGGGGCAAGTGGATTTCCATGCATTTGAGGCCAGCCTGATCTACAGAGAAAATTCCAGGACAGCCAGGGCAACACAGAGAAACCCTATGTTGAAAAACAGGACAGGGAGAGCAGTGCTTTCAAACCTTTGAGCACTGGCTGAGACAGAAAAACAGAGAAGCAGAACCTTATCCACTCAGATTACCTGTCTCTGAGGGAGTCTGAACAACCTGGAAAGAAGCTAAAAAGCAACCTAGATGATGGCACATGTCTGAGGTGCCAGCGCTTGGGAGGCCAAGGCAGGAGAGGACTACACATCCTAACCCTGCTTGGGAACTAAAAGGCTAAACTTTAAAGTTGGGCCCACGGGCATATACCTGTAATCCCAGCACCAAGGAGGCCAAAGTAGGACAGTTGCGAATTTGAGGCCAGCTTGGAATATGCAGTCATAGTTCATGCCAACCAGAGCCACACAGTGGAACCTCATCTCTAAAGAACAATCAAGCTTTAATCCCAGCACTCAGGAAGCAGAGACAGGCAGGTCTCTGAGTTAAGGAGCCAGCCTGGGATACACAGCAAGAACCTGTCTAAAACAAGCATAAGATCTACTTGAGAACACACACAAGTGAGTCTTACCTTTTCCTCCTCATCCTCCGAGTCTGAGTCAGCTCCATAGTCATCCACCATGTCAGCATCACTGTCCTCGGAGCCCCAAAGGTCCCCCTGGTTTGCCACAACATCTTCCTCAGAGTCTTCCTCCTCATCCCCCTCACTGTTAGGAGCTGGTGCTGGGCGCTTCTTCCCTCGAGCCTGGACTGCTCCTGAACACAGTGAGGGTTTGACAAATCAGATAGATGGCCATCACACTCCCTGCCCCACACCTCTGGAGCCTGTACTTTCTCTAGCCTTAAGAATGACCTTTGGGGGCTGGAGCAATGCTTTAACAGTTAAGAATACATACTGATCTTGCAGTGGACCCGAGTTCAGTTCCCAGAGCCCACACCCGACAATTCACAACTACCTATATCTGCATCTCCAGGTCAACTGAACATCATGTGCACACATCCACACACTCACACATAATTAACAAATAAAAACAGGGCGGAGAGAAGGCTCTTGCAAAGGACCCAGGTTTGGCTCCCAGTACTTACATGGTGGTTCACAACTATCTGTAATCCTAGTTCTGGGGTGATCTGATGCCTTCTTCTGACCTCCATGGGCACCAGGCATACATGTGACATACACTCATACATGCAGGCAAAACACTCAGACACATAAAATAGAGACAAAGTGTTTAAAAATAAGTAAGATAAAAAAAATAATCTTAGGCATGGCAACACACACCTTTAATCTCTGTACTCAGGAGGCAGAGGCAGGGGCTATTTGTGAGTTCAAGCCCAGCCTGGTCTACATAATGAGTCCAAAGACAGTCAGAGCTACACAATGAGATCCTGTCTCAAACAAACAAAAACAGACCTTAAAATAAATAAATAAATAAATAAATAAATAAATAAATAAATGCCTTGTTTTTCCTTCCATTCTAGAAATACTTAGCCCTATCCAGGACCCAGAAGACTCTTCACAAAACGACCAACCCCCCATTCTTACTCACCTTTTGCTAATTCTCCAGGCAATGTTTTGATCCCTGGAGACTTATTTGGCTTAGGGACTTCAACAGACCCAGACCTCCTCTTGGCTGCCCTGAAAAGATACAGAAGGTGAAGACATGGGAACGCACCTCTAGGGTCTTAACAAAGAAACATGACAACACACAGTTAGCCATCCATGTATCAAGCAGCCTGGGCATTCACACTCACCTCTTCCGAGCACGGCTGGACAGCCTCTTGGAATTCTCATCAGTAGCTGTTTTAAAAAAGGAGATTAGAAGCTTATTTTTACTTATTTATTTGTTTGTTTGTTTTGGTTTTTCAGAACAGGGTTTCTCTGTGGCTTTGGAGGCTGTCCTGGAACTAGCTCTTGTAGACCAGGCTGGTTTAGAACTCATTGATCCTCCTGCCTCTGCCTCCCGAGTGCTGGGATTAAAGGCGTGCGCCACTACTGCCGGGCCAGATTAGGAGTTTATAAGAAACACACAAAATGGGAGCAGGACTGTAATTGGGAAGAGAGTCACCATGATAACTAAAGTGTGACGGAGAGACTTGGTGATGTGGTCCAGTGGTTGTACAAGCCCCGGGTTCATTCACCGGTCAGGAAAGAAAGATACAAGGTTACAAAGTACAGGCAATGTGTATCAATCACTCCAAGATGTGGAGGAGGGGCTGGTGGGACAGCCTGTGCCAAGAATGGGAAAAGCCCAGGTTCCATTCCCAACACCTCCAGTAAAGCAGGGGAAGGGAAAAAAAAAGACAAAGGATGTGGAGGCGATGAAGGAATCATCCATCTGCCTGTTGAGCAGCCAGATCCAGAAAGGGACACTCTGATAATAGCATAACCTCAAAACCTTTTTTTACCCTTTCCTTTATTCTCAGCTTACTCAGTTGTGAACTACAGTAGAGTTCAACTTTGCTAATGTTATTTTTATATACTCTACAAGAAATCACAGCCCTTTCCACTTAATAACTGTGTGTAAGACACCCGACCCCGCAGGGCGTTGGTGGCGCACGCCTTTAATCCCAGCACTCGGGAGGCCGAGGCAGGCGGATCTCTGTGAGTTCGAGGCCAGCCTGGACTACCAAGTGAGTTCCAGGACAGCCTCCAAAGCCACAGAGAAACCCTGTCTCGAAAAACCAAAAAAAAAAAAAAAAAAAAAAAAAAAAAAAGACACCCGACCCCTCAGCATCCATTTGCTGACAAAGTCTCTCTCCCAGGACCCTAAAATTCGAAGAAGCCATACTTGTGTCCATATTGTTGAGGACCTCTTTCATGGGCTGTGACTTCCATAAACTGCACCTTCCATTCAAAACCAAACACCAACCAAACTCCCTTTGCAGTCTTTTCTTCCAAGGAGTGCTTCACCACACAAGACTCGGAGCCAGGACCCAGGCTTTCACCCCTTCTTCCAGACGACTTACGACTGGCCTGTCCGTTCCCAACTCTTGCTTGCTAAGACCAGACTCGACAAAACCTTTCTAAATTCACGAGAGCCCCTTTTCTGGAAAGGGCTTCTCTCCTCGCACCCCGGGGTGTGCCTGCCTACCCTGCCTCCCAACGCGGATGACTTACGTCCTAACAAGTCACATCTACGCAGCAGGTGAAGGAGAACGCGCAAACGGAAAAAGGTTGATATAAAATGGACCAGAGGCTGGGCGGGGTCAGGGACCTACGACCCTCACCTGCAGGCAAGAATTTGACCAGTTCGGTCTCTGCACCCTTCTGTTTTCGGGCCTTTCGACCGGGCCCACGCTTCTCCTTCTTCGTAGGGTCCAACTTACGCCCCATGGTACTAAAGCAAAGAAAAACGAGGGAAGCCGGCGTTGTGGATGCTGAAAAGGGAACGCAGGCCGTAGGAGCACCGACCGGCCCAGAACCTGCGCTCCCGACCCCTGATGGGCCCCGTCAAGGCACTCCCACCAGACCCTGGCACCGCGCCCCCCTCGGCAGGCCCAGGTCGAAAGCCGGCTCCGGAACCCTGCAGACGCACCTGAAGCCTCCGCTGGACTAGTGTACACCGATCGCTTCCAGCCAGGCCCGCTCCACGTGCACCCAGGGAAGAGCTCCCAGACGGCAAGCCGACCGAGTGTATCGCGCACGCGCAAAGCGCCCGGACAGGGCCCCGCCTCTTCCGGCGGCGGCACCGGAACGGATACAGTTCAGAACACGCGCATCACCGGCTCCGGCAGCTGGGGGAGGGAAACGTGCAGCGGTGGGCTCCTGCTCACTCTGCCATCCCGCTGAGCATCGGCTTCTCCCCGCGGGTTCCAGCTTAGGACGCCCGATGCCACCACGCTCCTACCTAGAACCGCAGCACGACCCTCGGCCTAGCGTCCAGTGAACTGCCTTAGATCTCAGGATCGCGAGGTTCCACGGCTCCGCTCACCTGCTTTTCTTATAGAAGCCAAGCTTCCCCTCCTCGCTGACCCTTTTCACTTAGCATCGCCTGAAATGTCCTCGGCCTTCCTCAAGAACTGCACTTTTCAGGCTTGGGAGGTGGCTCAGAGGATTAACGCGCCGGTTGTCAAACCTGACAGCCAGAGTTGATTACAGGACACACCCATATTGTGGGCTTGGGAACCAACTCCTGCAAGTCGTCCTTTGGCCTTCACGTGCACAGTAATCCTCCCCACGTATACGTTTAAAACCAAAAAAAGTATAAGCTATAAACCGGGTGTGGTGGTGCACTCCTTTAATCCCAGCTCTGAAAGAGCTTGAGACCAGCCTGGAATTCAATGACCCAGGACTACACAGAGAAACCCTGTTTCGGGAAATAAAAAACCAAAGTAGGAAAAGTGAATCACTAAAAATATCATGGTAGGACACACGTCCTTAACTCTCATACTCAAGAGGCAGAGAAAGGCAGTACTTGATGACAGTCTGTTTCAAAAAAATTGTGTATGTGTTTGTGTGTATATACGATGTTCCCATGGAGAATGCTTGCCTAGCACTTAGGTGGCCATACTGGCCTCATCTTGGCAACTACCAGGCAGGAACTATTTGATGCAAGGATAATTTGCTCCAGGTCAGAGCCTACAAAGGGACGATGCAGCAGCCTCTTGCTCCCCACATCCGGCAGCACCTGGCACCCACACTGAACCAGATCACTAAAATACAAGGAAACCTTTATTTTCAATTCTCATCAAGAAATTTGTTGTGGTTTTTTATGCTTTTGGTTCTTTTCCTTTTTTTTTCCCCCAACTTTATTTTAGCCGCTTAGTGGCTGGAGCCGCTGGGTTCCTGGTATTAAAAAGATGCCAACAGAGGTAGCTGTGTCTCGCCCAGGGCCCGGCCCACTCTGAATAACCCCAAAGGAGAAAACACAAAGTAAACCAACAAAATAAAACCAAAAAGAGGAAGAAATTCAGATCATTTTCTTCAAGCCTGGCAAAATCCACAAGAGTTTGTGACAGGCGCACGGTGGGGGAAGCCAGGGTCCAGAAGGCAGCTAGCCCGAAGCTCCTTGCACATGGCGCCGCGCTACTGCTGCTTGTCTCTCCAGCAGGGAGGGCACCATTGTCCCTCACTCCCTCCCTGCCCCTAGTGCACAGGGCTGTTCCTTTACAACTCAGAAGATGGGCAGAAGGAAGGCGAGGATCTCCCAGGCCCCCAGGGGGCAGCCAGGACAAGAGTGAGTGAGGAAGGTCACTGCTCAGTGGCTGAGGTGGTATCATCGCTCTGGGTCTTTCTTCACTGCTGCTGGGCTACCTACAGGGAAAAACAGCCAGAGTCAGAACAGAGCCCAGGTATCCCTGATGCCACAGGAAGCAACCATTAGGAAAGCCAAGGACACAAGCAAAGTACAAATTCCATGGCTTTGTGGGAAAAGCTGCGACTAAATATTGGTCCTACCTGCTGTGGGGGAGGTTCTGGTGCCCTGTTTGCCAGGCGGCTGAGAATGTTCCGCTCTGACATCTGTAACCTCACAGCAACTGGGGGGATTCGAGCAATGGTAGCTGGGAGTCGAGTCACATCGGCTTTCATGTCACTCAACAGTTCTTCCAGCTGTTTCAGGACTGCAGAGGTGAAAAAAAAAAAGGTCGTGAGCTGTGGTAGTCAAGGGCACAGTTCCAATTGAGAAGACCGGCTGCCTGCCCCACCAGCATACCAGGATATGGCCTCTTGACTCTTCACTTAACCTGGCCTGGCTGAGCAGTCTATTCCTCACATTCTAGTTCCAATTGGCTTTTTTTTTTTTTTTTTTTTTCGAGCCAGGGTTTCAAACTGGAACTAGCTCTTGTGGACCAGGCTGGTCAAGTACTCCCAGAGATATCCAGAGATATCGGCCTACCTCTGCCTCCCAAGGGCTGGAATTAAAGGGGTTCGTCACTACTGCCCAGCCCAATTGGCTTTTGTTTCACATGTTGCCCAGGACAGGACTGGAACTTGAGCTCATGTAACATTCCTGCTTTGTCTCCTAAGTACCTGGGAATCCAGGCATAAGTCATCACAGTTGGCTGATTCTGATTTAAAGCCACCAAACCCCTTTAGCTCAATATCCCTTCTATTGTCTCCATTTTTTTTTTTAAAGAATGGCTTCAAACACTATAGCCAAGCATGAAGATGACTTCCTGATCCTCCTGCCTCTGTCTCCCTGTACTGGGAGGGATCACAGGTGACTGTTAACACAGGGCTTTGTTTCTTACAGTTTTTATTCTCACAATAAGGGATCAAACCAAGTACGTGTGCTTTCCCACTTGAGAAACGTAATATCTAAGATCTCCTCTTTTGCAAGCATGCCTTTCTATTTCACTGCCTTTACGACACCCACCTTTTCCTCATCTAACCTCCACCCCTCATAATGTTTAACTTTAATTAGAAAGAAATACAATGTTGAGCTCGAAGGGATCTAAAATCACCTGAAGTCACCCCTAAAATATGCCAGATGACACTATTATTCAAGAACCTGATATACTAAGAGTTCAAAGAGAAAAGGGCCGTCCTCAGCAAGAAGCTATGGATGTTGGGGAGGAGAGAGTGGAGAGGGTGGCTGAAGGAGCAGGAGGCAGGGGAGCCACTGGCGACCTTTGTGTAAGACTGCATTGGCTGGCTTATTTCCTGCCATCGACTCCTTGGACAGGTGCTGGTGACTTTCTGCCAAACATTCCACCTCAGCAAAACGAGTGTTAAGGGCCATGGACGGGTGAGAGGGGTCCTCTGACATGTTCAGGTAAGCCGCCCTTCGAAGCTGCTCCTCGATCACCAGAGCTTGTTCCAAGAGCTGCACAGAGAAAAATAAGAGAAGGGGTTGGACTAATCGCCACTTCCAGTCAAGAAATGTCTATAATGAACTTTCGGCTCCTCCACACTATACCCCCCCCAACATGGTTCACCATCTCCTTCCCATTTGGAGGTCCACACTTACAATTCTCTACACTTTAGATCCTCAGAGAGAATTCGTAAACCTCAACTTAGAAAAATAAAATAAGTAAAACCACAGGTAATCCCCTCACCTTCCCTTGCTAGAGATGTTAACATTTTGATAATGTTCTTCCTACATACACATCATCTTTTACATAATCCAGTCATGTTCATGAACATGTATGTCTAAGTTGTACACCAGGCACTTCCTTTGCTCTTCAAAACCATGCGACAACAAATTTCATTTAATCTCTTTATTCTGTGAGGCGCACGCCTTTGATCCCAGCACTTTTGATCCCAGCAGGCAGGTCTCTGTGAGTTTCGGGGCCAGTTAGACCAATGGAGAAAGTTCCAGGACAAGCCAGAGCTACAATAGTGAGACCCTGTTTTAAAATGACTCCTCCCCCAAGGAAACAGAGGCAGATGGATCTCTGAAGTTTGAGATGAGCCTGGTCTGCAGAGCTAATTCCAAGACAAGAGAGGACTACAAAGGGAAACCCTGTCTCAAAAAATAAAGTTTGTTCTTTGACAGGGTTTCAGGTAGACCAGGCTAGCCTTAAACTCACTCTCTCATCTAGGTTGACTTTGAACTCCTGATCCCCTGACCTCTACCTCCCTGAGTGCTAGGGTATAGGAATGTGCACCACAGACTGATCTTGAAATTGTAACTTTGGGGCTAGACAGATGCATAGGCAGCACTGAAGAGTGCTTGCTAGACAATGAAAAGGAGTGGAGTTCAGACCTCAGCCCTATGGTAACAAGAATGCCAGCTCTGGGGGGGGGGCGGGGGCAGGGGAGACAGGGAAGATCACTGGAACTTGCAGGACACAAGTTTAGGTAGAGACCCTGCCTCAAAGCAGTAAGAGGATAGTGTGAGAGAGCTCCCAAACACACTTGCAGGGGACACACAAATAGATTACAAGTAAGTAAATGCCTGGGAACAACAGGGACTGCAGGCAAGAGCCACCATGCACTACCACACCTACCAAAAATAGCTTTGCTTTGAGGCAGGGTCTCATTCTGTAGCTCTGGGTGGCCCTGGAACTCACCTGTGTATCAGGCTGGCCTCAAACAAGCCATGATCCTCCCCCAAGTGCTGAGACTAAAGGAAAAATGGCTTTACTGTGTGTCACAGTTGTCCTAACACACTATCTTTTTCCTGATCCTGCTTCTTCAAGTAGCTTAACACAGACACAGTGTCTTTTTCCAATTCATACTGCCGTTTCTGTAAGTCTTCATTATTTTCTGCCAGTCTTCGGGAAGTATCACGATATTCAACCTACAAAGTTCTGGCCTCCCTTTTAAGTCAGTGCCTCCCACCTGCTTGCCCCTTCTTTCCCCTTCCATGTCTGTCCGGGTTGGTCAGCACCTGCCCCTCCTCCCTTTGCTTCCTTTCCCTAATAAACTCCACAAGGGTTTTGTTGAGTTTTGTGGTTCCTGTTTCATTGCTGGCAGCTGCAGCAAATACAGTAATCTATCCTATGTAGATAGTAACTGTATCAATCAGGTTATCTGGATTTCACAAATAATAGACAGACAGACAGCAAAGTCTCATAAACCCAAGGCTGGCCATGAATGAAATCATAATACAGCAGGCAATAATTAAGCTGGCTGGTCTAGAATTTACTATATAGACCATGCTTACCTCAAACTCACAGAATTCCATCTGCCTCTGCCTGAGAATGTTAGTTATTAAGTTACAAAAAGTATCCATTGTTTGAAGGTTATTCTTTTGTTTTGTTTGTTTGTTTTTTCAAGACAGGGTTTCTCTGTATTGTTTTGGAGGCTGTC